CCCACGAATAGAGCTTTCTTTTGGTGGTATTTGATTGCCTGTGCGTTTTTTTTTTTTTTTTTTTGCGCTATAAATGAAAAAATACTGACAATTTTGAGAAAAAAAAACGATAGTTTTGGCTTTTTGCTATTAAACATGTCAAGTAAAAAAATTTAAAAAATCTAATTTCGTCATAAACTTTGGCCAAAATGTACTTTGCTAGAAAAAAAAAAAAATCCCAATACGTGTAAATGAATTGGTTTACGTGAAAGTTATAGCATTTACAAATGGCGGTATAGATCCTGGGATTTTTTTTTTTTTTTTATACTAGTAATGGCAGCGATCAGCGACTTATAGTGGGACTGCGGCGGACATTCTGACACTGGGGAGGGGGGAACTGACTTGGTGTCACTGACATCCCCAGTGACACCAATACAGTGATCAGTGATAATAAAAAGCACTGACACTGTACTAATGGCACTGGGCAGGAAGAGGTTAACATGAGGGGCTATTAAAGGGTTAACTGTGTGCCGTGTATGTTTCACTGTGTAAGCACATTGCTTTGTATGGCTGTGCTATGCACAGCCATACAAAGCAGTGTACAGGAGCTGACAGGGTATTGTTTACATACAGACTTCTCCCCTGTCAGTGATACTTGGCGATCGCCGGGTTCCGGCGGGGAATCACCAGCCAGGACCCGGTGATCGTCAGCTGAGGCCGCAACCAGCGGCGAAGGTATGCAAAATCACGTATATATATGTGTTGGGTGTGTTTCACTTTGTAAGCATGCTGCTATGCAGAGCCATACAAAGCAGCGTGCATGAGCTGACAGGGAAGATATCTGTATTGTCTATATACAGACTTCTCCCCAGTCAGTGATGCTCAGCGATCCCAGAGTGCCAGCGAGCAATCACCAGCCGGAACCTGGTGATCGACAGCTGAAGCTGCCAATGACGGCATGGGTAGGGCACGTGTGCGCCCCCTACCCGGAAAATGCAAAATTACGTATACATACCTGATTTTGCGCAGCTCTGCCGCCCTGTAGCAGTATTTCTGCTATAGGGCGGCGGGGAAGCGGTTAAGGGACATGCTGGGCGCAAAAACTTGAAAAGTGATCTTTTATTACTCACCTTTGCTGATCTCTGAAGGGATTGCCTGTTCTTCAATCTTAATCTGGATTACTTCCACATCCTCTTCATCTTTGACCTCTGTCTGAGTGACTTCGGGGTCTGTGAATACAGATGAGAGTGAAGCCCCCTGTACTGAAAGGTATGAGAGACCCCAGAGAGTGTGTGGGTGGAGACTGGTCACGTCTCAATGACATGATGTGAGGAGAGCTGGAGTCTAATAGAGGCTGATGGCTCCTGACCCCCCCACTGGACACATAGGGGTTTATTTACTAAAGCTGGAGAGTCCAAAATCAGACTCCCTTCTGCATAGAAACCAATCAGCTTCCAGGTTTCATTGCCAAAGCTTCATTGAACAAGCTGAGGTTAGAAGCTGATTGGTTTCTATGCAGAAGGGAGTCTGATTTTGGACTCTCCAGCTTTAGTAAATAAACCCCAACCTGTCCCCCCATTACTGTCTACTGACAGAGGAGGGGAGAAGAAGAGATGGTTGTAGTGACTGAACAAGGAGGATCTGGGACTCTTCTCTGGATTACAATGTTAGAAAATCAGATGAAAATATCTATTCAGAGCAATCAATTGATTTTCTCTTCATTTGTACACCGCTTTCAGGAGCTAATATCGACTGTTCACACCAAAACCTTTGAAGGTACATGCTGGAAACTTGTTCTTCTCCTACGGGGGCACTCATGGGGGCTCAATCCCAAAGCCCTGCTGCCTGCATCTATACACACAAACAGTAGGCCTCGCCTCTCCCAGCTCCCTTGTCATAGGATTTGATTGACAGCAGCAGGAGCCAATGGCTCCCGCTGCTATCAATCTGCCCTGTGAGGGAGAAGAGATCAGAGGGAGCCGCTGTTCTCGGGCACAGAGCTGGATTGAGATGGGGCTCAGGTAAGTACAGGGTGGGGATCCTGGGCACTAAAGATTTTTTTTTACCCTAATGCAGAGTATGAATTAAGGTAAAAACAAAAAAACTTAAGGCTTTAGAACCACCTTCATTTATTTACAAATAATGGGTCAAATGCACATTACATCAATGCTGGAACATAGCTACATACATTGGAAGTTTTGGAATTTTCATACCACTAAAGTGTTACTAAACCCACAACAGTACAATCAGTTTGTATATACAGTAAAGCATGCTTGTTATACTCACTGTGGAACCTAAGGGGTTAATCCTTCGCACTGCATAAAAAAGGTTGTTTGATCTTGTCTTCTCTGATCCTCCCCTTTTTCTACTGTCCCCAATCCATCTGCAGATAGTACAGAACATTGGGGGCAAGCTGCACACGCTCAGTTTATTGTGTATTGCTAGTGAGTTTTATTTTTCCTGGGATAGTGCATATGATCAGCACAGGGCCAATCAACACTGTCTAGACAGAGGGTCAGGGGTCCTGCAGCCTTATAGGACAATCGAAAGAGAATGAAAACTCCTCCTACAAGCTTTAACCAGTGCTCTGCTGGACACTGATAGAAGTCACAAGACTGCTATATACTGCTGATGAGAAAATGTACTTAGCAGTTTATATTTACTAAAATAATTGCATTTCCATGTTGTGTGTACTGTGGGAGACCAGATATAGTGAATGCAGGGTCCAGGGAAAGCGGATATAGTAAATAAAGGGTCCGGGGAGAGCGGATATAGTGAAAGCAGGGTCCTGGGAGACCAGATATAGTGAATGCAGGGTCGAGGAGACTGAGATATAGTGAATTCAGGGTCCTGGGAAAGCGGATATAGTGAATGCAGGGTTGGGGAAAGCGGATATAGTGAATGCAGGGTCCGGGGGAGAGCGGATATAGTGAATTCGGGGTCCTGGGGAAAGCGATAGTGAGGGGTCGGGGGAGACCGGATATAGTGAATGCAGGGTCCAGGGAGATTGGATATAGTGAATGCAGGGTTGGGGAAAGCGGATATAGTGAATGCAGGGTCCGGGGAGAGCGGATATGGTGAATGCGGGGTCCGGAGAGATATAGTGAATGCAGGGTCCAGGGATTGGATATAGTGAATGCAGGGTTGGGGGAAAGGGATATAGTGAATGCCCGGGGAGAGCGGATATGGTGAATGCGGGGTCCGGAGAGAGCGGATATAGTGAATGCAGGGCCCGGGGAGAGCGTATATAGTGAATGCGGGGCCCGGGGAGAGCGTATATAGTGAATGCGGGGTCCGGGGAGATCGGATATGGTGAATGCGGGGGTCCAGAGAGACCGGATATATTGAATGCAGGGTCCGGGGAGAGCGGATATGGTGAATGCGGGGTCCAGAGAGACCGGATATAGTGAATGTAGGGTCCGGGGAGAGCAGATATAGTGAATGTAGGGTCCGGGGAGATCGGATATAGTGAATGCAGGGTCAGGGGGAAAGCGGATATAGTGAATGCAGGGTCCGGGGAGAGCGGATATGGTGAATGTGGGGTTCGGAGAGACCGGATATAGTGAATGCAGGGTCCGGGGAGAGCGGATATAGTAAAGGCAGGGTCCGGGGAGATCGGATATAGTGAATGCAGGGTCGGGGGGAAAGCGGATATAGTGAATGCAGGGTCCGGGGAGAGCGGATATGGTGAATGCGGGGTCCAGAGAGACCGGATATAGTGAATGCAGGGTTGGGGGAAACTGGATATAGTGAATGCGGGGGTCCGAGGAGAGTGGATATAGTGAATACGGGGTCCTGGGAGAGCGGACATAGTGAATGCGGGGTCCAGGGAGAGCGGATATGGTGAATGCGGGGTCCGGAGAGACCGGATATAGTGAATACGCGGTCCGGGGAAAGTGGATATAGTGAATGTGGGGTCCAGGAGAGCGGATATAGTGAATGCAGGGTCCAGGGAGATCCGATATAGTGAATGCAGGTCCGGGGAGACAGAATATAGTGAATGCAGGGTCTGGGGAGATCAGATATAGTGAATGCAGGGTCTGGGGAGATCAGATATAGTGAATGCAGGGTCTGGGGAGATCAGATATAGTGAATGCAGGGTCTGGGAAGTCCAGATATAGTGAATGCAGGGTCTGGGGAGAGCAGATATAGTGAATGCAGGGTCGAGGAGAGCAGATATAGTGAATGCAGGGTCTAGGGAGTCCAGATATAGTGAATGCAGGGTCGAGGAGAGCAGATATAGTGAATGTGGGGTCTGGGGAGACCAGGTATAGTGAATGAACAGTCCAGGGAGTCCAGATATAGTGAATGCAGGGCCGGGGGTTTAGTAACACTTTAATGGCATTCTCCATTTCAGCATGTGACGACCATAACGTGAAAACTGGACGATCATTCATCTGATTTTCTAATAATTTGTACTAGGCTTTAGTGTTTATTCCTCACCTGTGCTGACGTCTGGAGGGATTTCCTCCTCCTTACATGGCTCATCACCCACCACATATGTCTCATCTTCTTCCTCTGTACCTTCTGTTATACAATCCATCGGGTCTCCATCCAGCATTACCTAAACAAGAGTAATGATCATTTAAAATCCTGTTCTAATACCAGTTTTGATTCTATAATGATCACAAAATTAACAGACTCTGTAGACAGTGATGGCTTATTGCCAAACTCTGCCCTCGGAGACAAAGAGTAAAGAGGATCTGTCAGATCTGGGGAGAAACCCCTCTCACAAACTTAAGATGGCTGTGCTGAAATTTACAATTGCTTTTTATTTCACATACCTGATCCTCCTGAGGGATCTCCTGATGTTCCTGTGTGGAGTCCCGGGAATACAGAGGACGGGGACATCTCTCTGGTGGGTTCCCATTACTGGATCCATCTGTAGGAAACACACACACTGACTGAATACATTGAGGTTGATTTACTAAAACTGGAGAGTGCAAAATCTGGTGCAGCTGTGCATGGTAGCCAATCAGCTTCTAACTTCAGTTGGTTCAATTAAAATGTACCCTGCATTCACTATATCTGGTCTCACCGGACCCCGCATTCACCATATCCGGTCTCCCCGGACCCCGCATTCACTATATCTGCTCTCCCTGGACCCCGCATTCACTACATCCCCTCTCCCCGAACCCTGTATTCACTATATCCACTCTCCCCGGACCCTGCATTCATTATATCCACTCTCCCCGGACCCTGCATTCACTATATCTGATCTCTCCAGACGCCGCATTCACTATATCCGGTCTCCCCGGACCCTGCATTCACTATATCTGGTCTCCTCGGACCCTGCATTCACTATATCCGGTCTCCCCGGACCCTGCATTCACTATATCTGGTCTACCCGGACCCTGCATTCACTATATCCAGTCTCCACAGACCCCGCATTCACTATATCTGGTCTCCCACAGTACATACAACATGGAAATGCAATTATTTTAGTAAATATAAACTGCTAAATACCTTTTTCTCATCAGCAGTATATAGCAGTCTTGTGACTTCTATCAGTGTCCAGCTGAGCACTGGTTAAAGTTTGTGGGAGGAGTTTTCATTCTCTCCTTATTGTCCTATGAGGCTGCATAACCCCTGACCCTCTGTCTGGAAAGTGCTGATTGGCACTGTGCTGAAAAAAAACCCCTCTCTAGTAGTGATGCACCAATACCGGTATCAATACTAGGCATTTGCATGAGTGCAAATGCACCGATACCTGAAATCAATATCAGAAGTGATGTCAGCATGGAGGCAGAGAGGGCTACATTCCCATACATGGCACCGGTGAGTGCTTACATGTCCCTCGCTGACTGCTGTACTTCTGGAGGTGAGTCCTGTCCCTTGCTGTACTACTTTTGTTGAGTCCTCAGTCCTATTACATGTCCCTTGCTGTACTTCTGGCACTAAGTCCTATTATATGTCTCTTGCTGACCTTCTGTGGTGAATCCTGTTACATGTCCCTAAAAATAGGGATCGGTAATTGGTATCGGTGAGTACTAGAGTTAAAGTATTGGTACTCATACTCGGTCTTACAAAAGTGGTATCGGTGCATCCTTACTCTCTAGAAATACATACCAAACTGAGCATGTGCAGCTTGCCCCCAAGGCTCTGTTCTATCAGCAGATGGATTGGGTACACTAGAAGAAGGGAAAGATCACAGAAGACAGGATCAAACAGCCTTTTTTACCCAATGTGGTTTAACCCCTTAGGTTCCACAGTATTACAAGCATGCCTTACTTCATATAGAGACTATTGTGAGCTTAGTAACAATTTAACCCCTTGCCCTCCAGAGGATTTACCCCCCGTGCTGACCAGGCCATTTTTTTTTGCAATCCGGCACTGCCTTACTTTAACTGACAACTGCGCGGTCATGGAGTGCTGTACATAAATGAAATTTATGTCATTTTTTCCTCTGGATCAACTGTGGGTATAGGATTATAACTTTTTTTTTTTTTTTTTTAATGGTTGAACTGGATGGACTTTTGTCTTTTTTCAGCCAGACTAACTATGTAACTATGTAAAGAGAGCTTTCTTTCGGTGGTGTTTGATCATCTCTGTGTTTTGGGTTTTTTTTTTGCACTATAAACAAAAAAAGGCCGACAATTTTGAAAAAAATAAAACAGTATTTTTGACTTTTTGCTATAAATGTCAAATAAAAAAAATAAAAAAAAATAAAATTTCTTCAAACATTTAGGCCAGAATGTATTCTGCTACATGTCTGCCCTAAAAAAAAATCCCAATACATGTAGATTAACCAGTTCCCGCCCGGCCTCTGGCCGAATGGCACCCATCAAAAACCCTCGTCCCTCCTGGTGGACGCCATATGGCGTCCTTTCCGGCATGCGCAGTTTGCATGCCAGCAGAGCCGCACAGTGGTGCGATCTGTCACTGGCCGTGTACCTCGGACACGGCCGATGACAGATTTGTGTACCGGCCCCTTTGCCAGTACCATGTGACCTGCTGTGACCAATCACAGCAGGTCACATGACAGTTGTATACAATGGATGGCTTCCTGTCATACCATGCATTGTATACAAGTGTGGCTAGCTGTGACTGGTCACAGCGATCACATGCACAAGTTGGGCCAATCACAGCCCAGCTGTATCATGTGATTAGCTGTGGCCAAATCACAGTTAAGAAAAAAAAAAAAATCCTGAATGAATCGATTTCATTCAGGTAAATGCTTGCTTATAGCAAAGTGATTTTTTGCTATAAGCAAATTGTGAAAAAAAAAATATATATATAGATCACTTCCCCAAAGTAGTACAATGTTACTATGGTAACATTATACTATTTTGGTCATAGTGAAATATGAAAAACAAATCTTAAAAAAAGAGAAAAAAATGTAATAAAAATAAAAAATAGTATGTAATAAAAAAATAGTGAAAATATTTTTTTTTATTTCTTCATTTCCGAAAAATTATGACAAAAAAATTACAACTTCAAAAAACTCGCCATGCCTCTTATGAAATACGTCGGACTGGCTAATTTGCAAAAAGGGGTCATTTGGGGGATATCTGTACTGTTCTGACATTCTTGGACCTGAAGAAATTAGATTGGCTGTCAGAACTTCAGGATTGATCAATATTCAGATATCTCCCATAGTTTGTGAACTCTATAACTTTCCTACAGACTAAATAATAAATACTTATTTGGGGTATTTTCACCACAGACATGTAGTAGCAGAATACATTTTAGCCTAAATTTATGAAGAGCAATTATTTATTTGCAAACTTTTTTAATAGAAACAAAGAAAAACGTGTTTTTTTTTCAAACTTTTTGGTCTTTTTTTGTTAATTTAGCAAAAAATAAAAACCCCAGAGGTGATTACATACCACCAAAAGAAAGCTCTAGTTGTGTGAAGAAAATAAAATCTTAGTTTGGGCTGTATGACCGCACAATTGTCATTCAAAGTGTGAGAGCACTGAAACCTGAAAAATGGCCTGGGCAGGAAGGGGGTAAAAGTGCCCGGTATGGAAGTGGTTAATTGGTTTAAGTTCTGACAATAAAACCTGAAAGTTGATCAGTTTCTACACCGAGCTGCACCAGATTTTGCCCTCTAGTTTTAGTAAATCAACCCTATTGCTTCTATGTCTTTATATCAGAGGATGTGTGTATCTAGGTGGATCCTCAATACAAGAAATTAAAGTCTCCTCTTACCCGGTGATGTGAGGGGCGGCCGGGTTCTCCATCATGACGTCCTTGTAGAGATCCTTGTGTCCTTCTATATACTCCCACTCCTCCATGGAGAAATAGACAGTGACATCCTGACACCTTGTAGGAACCTGACACACACAATGATACAGTCACCATCCAGACACATCCCTTGTCTGTTACTGGATAACATCCAAAATTCCCGGCACCGCTCACCTCTCCTGTCAGCAGCTCAATGATCTCTCTGATGACGTCTTCAATCCTCTTTCTGTTCTTTCTCAGGAAGTGTGTTGGAGGCTCTGTAATGGGGCTTTGGGGATTCAGCAAGCTGGACACGAACAAGCCGTCCGATAATTTGAAAGCTAGATGATTCTACATTGAAAAATCAAAGACATCAAGCTATGTCACCATTCCAGCTAGATAACACATTCTCAGTGAATTCAAATGAACGATTTTACAAATAGTTTCCTCTCTCCATTCATTTCTGTTTTCCTAAACATTTACAATAACAAGGCTAAAAAATGTCATCTTGCAAATAAGACCAAAATAATGAAGCCGGCCAGAGATGGTTCAACAGTGACCGTCAGAGATTCGATCCACCTATGGGCAGGCAGGCTGGTTGTACTGAAGTCGATCCATTGATTGACTTCAGTACAACCAGCATGCAATCACTGCTGGCAGCTATAGCCGCTAGCAGTCATCATTGTGTCCTACCAATGGGGAAGGCTCCCCGCTGGCAGAATACAATAACGCAGGGAGAGGGATTCCGCCATCAACACTGACTGTGTTGATGCGGGTATCGAGCAATTTTTTTTCCTTCCATCCATGGTGGAAAAAAAGAAAATCGTATAATCTATGGCTTACTTTAGGGTCCCGAGGAAGAGAAAGAAAATAATGTACCATGAATACCGTGAAGTTACCAAAATTAATTCCCTCATCAATCAGCTCTGCATCTTATTAACAGAGATAAGAGTGATGTCATGTGACCTCCCAGAATCCTCCTCACCTCTCCGGTCAGGTCTGTGTTTTATTAATAGAGATGAGTGATGTCATGTGACCTCCCAGAATCCTCCTCACCTCTCCGGTCAGCTCTGTGTTTTATTATTAGTGATAACAGTGATGTCATGTGACCTCCCACAATCCTCCTCACCTCTCCGGTCAGGTCTGTTCTATTAATAGAGATAAGAGTGATGTCATGTGACCTCCCAGAATCCTCCTCATCTCTCCGGTCAGGTCTGTGTTTTATTAATAGAGATAAGAGTGATGTCATGTAACCTTCCAGAATCCTCCTCACCTCTCCAGTAAGCAGGCAGATGATCTCCAGGGTGCGTTTTAATACCCTCTCAGTCATGCAACACTTTTTTTCCATCCTTGGCCAGGTGATCTATTTTGTCTTCAAAAATCACCTGTATTATAAAAGAAAAAATAGCAAAAAAAAAATATTAAAAAATGTAACAGATCAAGGAGTGGGAAAGGAAATCATGAAATGCAAGTGTAAGGGAGATATGGGGACACCACAATTCTTAGAGGTACTGACAAAAAAAATTAGATCTCTAAAGAGATAGGGACACAAAAATGCCAAGTTCCAGGGAGATAAAGCCATAGAAATACCAGATTGCAGAAAGCAATTGGGACAGGAACATCAGGCTACAGACAGGTAGGTGAACAAAAACCACCAGATTTTAGAGAGGTACGGGCCGAGAGTGACCAGATTCCAGAAAGTTATGGGCACAAAATTATTAGATTCCAGAGGTATTAGCACAAAAACACCAGGTTTCAGGGAGATAAAGCCAGAGGAAAACCAGATTCATGAGAGCTCTGGGCATAGGAACAGATCCCAGACAAGTACTGTATAGGCACAAAAACCAGATGCGATTTCTCCTGCGCTCTAGGGCCAAGACCGGGTGGCGAGTAGATGGAACCAAAACCAGAAAAAACGACCACCAGTGTATTTAAAGGTTGTGCAGCTCCAAACAAGGCTGGGGAAGCCCGACCGATACTGCAAAGTGAAACAAAAAACAAGAAGCGCAGCAACCTTGCGCATTACCTCAGTAACCAAATTTATTAGTTGAAGAATGGTACTCACAAACAGCGAAAAAATTAAGGAATGTAGTCCTCGAAGGGATTTCAGAGATAAGGAACCAGCGCGAATCCCATCATGGGGGTAGACACTCAGTACCACTGATGCGTTTCGAAGGGAGAAGGCATGGCCTTCGAAACGCATCAGCGGTACTGAGTGTCTACCCCCATGATGGGATTCGCGCTGGCTCCTTATCTCTGAAGTCCCTTCGAGGACTACATGCCTGATTTTATTCGCTGTTTGTGTGAGTACCATTCTTCAACTAATAAATTTGGTGAGCTCTGAGGAAGAAGGCATGGCCTTCGAAACGTGTCAGCTGTACTGGGTGTCTACCCCCATGATGGGATTTGCGCTGGCTCCTTATTTCTGAAGTCCCTTCGAGGACTACATGCCTGATTTTATTCACTGCTTGTGAGTACCATTCTTCAATTAATAAATTTGGTTACTGAGGTAATGCGCAAGGTTGGTGCGCTTCTTGTTTTTTGTAGGCACAAAAACCACCAGATTTTAGAGAGGTATGGGCTGATAGTGACTAGATTCCAGAAAGTTATGGGCACAAAATTATTAGATTCCAGAGGTATTAGCACAAAAACACCAGGTTTCAGGCAGATAAAGCCACAGGAAAACCAGATTCATGAGAGCTCTGGGCAGAGGAACAGATCCCAGACAAGTATAGGCACAAAAAACCACCAGATTTTAGAGAGGTATGAGCTAAGAGTGACCAGATTCCAGAAAGTTATGGGCACAAAATTATTAGATTCCATAGGTATTAGCACAAAAAACACCAGGTTTCAGTGAGATAAAGCCACAGGAAAAGCAGATTCATAAGAGCTCTGGGCACAGGAACAGATCCCAGAAAAAGTATAGGCACAAAAAAACACCAGATGCCAGAGACATACGCACACAAAACACTAGAGTTCAGTAAAATAAAGGCAAAATAAAAAAAAAAAATCCCCACTTCAGCATATGTAAGAAAAGGGATACATCACTATAAACTGCACCTCTTAAAAGGCTTAGTTCTCCTTTACCTATGCAAGTAAGGGAAACCTGTAGCTAAAACCAAACTGGGCAGCTTTGGACAAAGTTAACTATGCCTTTGCTATAGGTCATTTACTATGCCTCCTGAAGCCTGGTGGAAAAACTCACAGAGCCTTGTTGCTAGGACGTTGCTAAGACGCTCCCAGCTGAGTCAAATACCTTGCATATGCTCTCTCTCCCCTCTATTGCAGTAGTTCTGAGGTCAGAGATTTTTAGGGGAGATAGACCGCACATGGGGGGGGGGGGGGGGGTACAGCTTGCTCCTGTGATGGCTGGGGTGAGAAGTAACAGCTAGAAGTGTCTTAGCACTTAGCAACATCCTAGCAGCATTCAAACTCCCGGGAGTTTTTCAGCCACGCTTCAGGAGGTACATAAAAGGCCTACACTTACGGCAAGGACATTATCTAACTTTAGACAATGCCGCACAGTTTGTTTTAATCGACAGGCGCCCCTTACCTGCATGGGCAGTTTTTTGGTACAGGTGAGCTAACCCTGTCAGAAGAATTTAATATTTACCCTTTAGTTGATACATGTAATTGCAGCATTGTTGCCCCAAGACAGAGCCTGCTGTACCCTGTGCACTGCATACAGCTCATGTCACCTGACCCACAAGGTCACATGACACCCCCACCAATTCAGTCCTCAAAAAGTGCTGGAACCCCCCTGTCTCTTTCAGTCATCCCATAATAAGCATACCTTATTACCTGCTCTTCCATAGGCACACTGCAACCTCACCTGGAAGCTTTTGCTTCCTTACTGGGCTTCCTCCCCAAACTCCTCCAGTGGGCTACAACAAAATGGCTGCGCTAGGTTCAACCACAAAACAACTGCTGGATTTTTTTTTTCCACTTTAAGTTACCGGTAACAGTAGGAGATAACTCTGAGACCTTTTTTTTACTCAATATTAGTTAAATTTTGCTGAAATTATTAGGAAGCTGAATAACAGAACTAAACGTTCTACAACAAAATGGCTACCGCTCTCCTGTAGTGAAGACATTTCTTCTCACAGTTTAGTTTAATATTACTGTGAGCAACGAGGGAGGGGCCATAAGTTATTCTTCGCACGGGAATGGACGGTGTTAGTCACTGTCCGGTCTCTAGTAGTGTGCCTCTTATTTGGTTGGTGTCTCCATGGTAACCAGGAAGCAGCTGGGCAGTCGTGGAACGCAAACAGGAAGTCGGGGAGGAACTGCATGATAACATACCTCCCAAATGTTCTTGATTTCTAGGAACTGTCAAACACTAAGTCCCTCTGTCCTTCTGTCCTCTTCATTTGTCCCTCATTTTGGTCTTATCTATAGAGCTGTATATAAAATGAACTATTTATTTTTCAAAAAGTGTTTCCCAGTGCTAAACCTTTCATCCAGTTTCTAAATTGCTGCATTTGTAAACATCAAAAGCCGTTCTAAAGGAATAGTATTGGTAAGAGAAAAAAAAGCACATGAGTTTAACCACTTCCAGTCCGGACACTTTCACCCCCTTCCTGTCCAGGCCACTTTTCAGCTTTCAGTGCTATCACACTTTGAATGACAATTGTGCAGTCATGCAACACTATACCCATATGAATTTTTTAGTATTTTTTTGAGACAGATAAAGCTTTATTTTGGTGGTATTTATTTACCACTGGGATTTTTTTTTATTTTGCTATGTAAATTAAAAAATCCAAAAAGTTTTTCTTATAAAATTTTGCAAATGAATATTTCATTATAAATCTTGGCCAAAATTTATTCCGTTATATTTTTAGTAAAAAAAAATAACCCAAATTAGTTTATAACCAAAATTATAATTTTTAAATTTTTTTTTTTACATTTTTTTTAATTTTTTTATATTTTTTTAAATTTTTGTTTACATAGTGTCACCCTAGCAGTGCAGTGTCACCATGTACTAGTTGTGGGGGGTGATGAAGATTTTTTTTTTTTTCCTTACACTGATTGCTTTTACACCCATAAAAGATGTAAAATCAATCATTTCTCCTCTCTAGTCTAGCTGCATTCTTGCAGACATTGAGAACTACTGAGTGAGCTGTGATGGTCACAGCTTGTCACATGGTACAAGGCTGTTGTGAATAGCCTTGTACCATGTGACCTCTGTGATTATTCACAGATTTCACACGTAGTAAGCAATGGTGTCACAAGTGACATCTTGCTTACAACTTTGCATGTGATCACTGATTGGCCAACCAGTGATGACATGATCGGGACCTCGTACAGAGGTTCCGTCTGACTATTGGTGTTCCACTGTGTCCGGAGGACACAGCGGGCACCGGATCGCGGTGCGAGCGCGCACAAGCAGGGTGTGGGGAGGCCATTTATAAACGTTTATATACAACGGCCAGACGGGAGGTGGTTAAAGTGTTACTAAACCCACAACAGTACAATCTGTCTATATATGCAGCAAAGCATGCTTGTTATACTCACTGTGGAACCTAAGGGATTAATCCTCCGCATTGTGTAAAAATGCTGTTTGATATAGTGAATGCAGGGTCTGGGGAGAGCAGATATAGTGAATGCGGGGTCCAGGGAGAGCGGATATAGTGAATGCGGGGTCCGGGGAGAGCGGGGAGATATAGTGAATGCAGGGTCCGGGGAGAGCGGATATAGTGAATGCGGGGTCCGGGGAGAGCGGATATAGGTGAATGCGGGGTCCGGTGAGAGCCGATATGGTGAATGTGGGGTCCGGGGAGAGCCGATATAGTGAATGCGGGGTCCGGGAGACCGATATAGTAAATGTGGGGTCCGAATACTGTATATATTGAATGCGGGGTCCGGGGAGAGCCGATATAGTGAATGCGGGGTCCGGGGAGAGCGGATATAGTGAATGCGGGGTCCGGGGAGAGTGGATATAGTGAATGCGGGGTCCGTGGAGAGCGATATAGCAAATGAAGGGTCCGGGGAGACCGGATATAGTGAATGCGGGGTCCAGGGAGACCGTATATATTGAATGCGGGGTCCGGGGAGACCGGATATAGTGAATGCAGGGTCCGGGGAGAGCAGATATAGTGAATGCGGGGTCCGAGGAGAGCGGATATAGTGAATGCGGAGTCCAGGGAGATCAGAAATAGTGAATTCAGGGTCCGGGGAGATCAGATATAGTGAGAATGCAGGGTCCGGGGAGAGTGGATATAGTGAATGCTGGGGGGAGCAGATCAGAGTCGGGGAGAGCAGATATAGTGAATGCAGGGTCCAGGGAGAGCGGATATAATGAATGCAGGGTCTGGGGAGAGCAGATATAGTGGACCCCGGATTCACTGTATCTAGAGATCATATCCCCCCTTATGTATTATACATGGAGATCGGTATTATACCTGGAGATCGTATCCCCCCTTATGTATTATACCTGGAGATCGTATCCCCCCTTATGTATTATACATGGAGGTGTCCCCTTATGTATATACATGATGAATTATGTATTATACATGGAGATCATATCCCCCCTTATGTATTATACATGGAGATCATATCCCCCCCTATGTATTATACACGGAGATATATCCCCCCTTATGTATTATACACGGAGATCATATCCCCCCTTATGTATTATACACTGAGATCATATCCCCCCTTATGTATTATACATGGAGATCATATCCCCCCTTATGTATTATACATGGTGATCATATCCCCCCTTATGTATTATACACGGAGATCATATCCCCCTTTATGTATTACACATGGGAGATATCAGAGAGAATAAATTCAGTTTCTCTACTCTTTCCTCATAGCTGAGCTCCTCCATGCCTCTTACCAGTTTGGTTGCCCTCCTCTGTGCTTTCTCCCAGTTCCCCAATGTTCTTTCTGTGAATTGGTGCCCAAAACTGAACTGCATATTCCAGATGAGGAGTAATTCTTTCCACTGACCATCACACTATTGTACCATGATTTTAGACATAGACATTTTTAGTAGGGGTTCCCTGAGCTATTTCAGGGGTTCCTCTGTGTGAAAAGGTTGAGAAAGCTGGCCTATACGGTGAAAGTTATAGCATTTACAAATGGTGGTATAGATACTGGGATTTTGTTTTCTTTTTACTAGTAATGGCGGCGATCAGCAACTTATAGTGGGACTGCGGCAGGCATTCTGACATGGGGGGGACGGACGGACTTGGTGTCACTGACATCCCACCAATACAGTGATCAGTGCTAATGAAAGACACTGTACTAATGGCACTGGTCAGAAGGGGTTAACGTGTTAACATTTGTATTACCCAGTAATACAAATCATGTATATATACGTGATTTTGGAGATCCCTTCCGCCCTGTGTATTTCTGCTATAGGGCATGGCAAGAGCCTTAATTATTTTTCCCCCTGCCTGTACAGTTAGGGGGCGCTTGTAGATAAAAACCAAAGTTGGATAACCTTACTGTATGACATTTATATAAATCCCAAAACCTGGACCCCAAACTCTCCCCCTGTTCTGCCTGGTTGCTAGGATGTTGCTAAGAAACTCCCAGCCACTTCTGCTCACCTCCACCATTAAGCTGTATTAAATCTCTGTGCAGGCACGCCCTTTCTTATCCCCATCTGAACAACTCTGCTATGTGGAGGAGACAGCAAACCATGCATTTGTGGGGATGTGAATCAGAGAGAGAACTGGCGTGTGTTGTGGGGGTGAGCATCAGCCCCTTAGCAACATCCTAAACAAGTCAGAATGGAGGGGGGGGGGGGAAACCATCATTTTTTGGCCAGGCTTAACCCCCTTATGTATTCAACTTACAGTGAACTGATCATATGCGCACCACATCCCCCCATTTAATTCATTTTTATATTCAAAGCAAACGCTTCCATTCATGTTTCCATTTTTTTATTTTTGCTGAGAAACCCCCTAGAAAAAACACTCCCCCTAGCATTTCTAGCCATGGCCATCTTAAAACGGAACTTCACCACATCTTAGCACAAAAAAAAAAAATTAAAAAAATGTAATATTCAAGGCAAATTCATCCATCGGCTGAGAAAATCACTTTGACACCCCCTCCCCCCAAGCATTCCTGGCCTTGGCCATCTTGAGTAAAGGTAGATGATCATGTAGCATAATTCCGAAAATCCATCTGCCCTTAACTCAGGAAGGAGGGTGTGCTTAGCTGAGAAAACCCCTCCTCCTCTCCTGAAGACTCCTGGGATGTATGACATAATTTGCCTAGGCCAGAAACCAGGAAGTAACTGAGGAAATGTAAAAAAAAGGGTTGAAACCAATGAACATGTTTTACTTTCCTATCTATTTACTGATGCTATCAGCATAAGGTTTCTGGTGTGAAGATGCCGAAGGAAATGGAGGCCCCGGATCTCGGAATGCCTGTGTGGGAAATCCCTGCCAAAGTCTCTGCTGGACCTTGAGGGTTGGCTGGAGCCTTCACACATTTGTGCATGTGCCGTGCACCCTTTAAACCGGGGGGGTTAGCAACCCATAGATCACGGTCCAATGACACAGCAGATCACTGGGTAAATACAGTTCCTAGTTATCAGCTGCACTGATGATCAGTGCCCCTCAGTGCCACCTACCTGTGCCCATCAGTGCCGTCAGTCAGTGCCACCCATCAGTGCAGCATCATCAGTACCACATATCTGTGCTGCCTATCTGTGCCTATCAGTGCTGCTTATCTGTGCCACCTCATCAGTGCCGCCTATCAGTGCCCACCAGTGCTGCCGATCAGTACAGCCTCATCAATTCACATCAGTGAAGGAGAAAAATTACCTGTTTCAAAATTTTATAATAGGAACAAAGAAAATCTTTTTTTGTTTATAGCGCAAAAAATAAAACACCCAGCAGCGAGTACATACCACCAAAAGAAAGCTCTATTTGTGTGAAAAAAAATAAAAATGTCATATGTGTACAGTGTTGCATGACCGCGCAATTGTCATTCAAAGTGTGATAGCACTGAAAGCTGAAAACTGGCCGGGTCAGGAAGGGGGTATAAGTGCCCGGTAGGCAAGGGGTTAAAAATTTCAGAAGGCCCGGGGGGCAGGAAGGATTGGCGATCATGTGTCGATCATGTCTCTCAGCACATAAACAATGGCTGCCCGGCATGAAAGCCCACACTTTTGCCATCGCACTAATGTTTAAGGGGGATTTAAAGATGTCGGAGGCAGGAGTAAAAGCTTGGTTTTATCCACAGGTGCCTCTTACCTACACAGGCATTTTCTTGGCAAAGGTGGACCAACCCTTTAAAGCTCCAAGCACCCCTTTATCTTCTCCCAGAGCCTTCCAGTGGTGTTCATCTTACTGGACAGCCAATACAAAGCAGCACATAGGTTCCCTTAGACCTCAAGGTTTTTTTTTCATAATTTCACATTTATTTTATTTTTTAATTTAAAATAGTGAAAAAGATGGGTTGCTTTTTGTAAACAATCTCAAATGTACTAAGCAAAAGGTCCCAACCATATTTATTTAGCAGATCCTTATAGGAAGAGGAACCAGGAACATGGATAACAGCAGCCAGTCATACAGAAGTCTAAGGGGCTGCAATGTGGTGGTGCGAACAGGAGAAGCAGCCTTTTAGTGCCGGATGTAACCAAACAACAGAGGCCATGGCCATTGGATTGCGGTAAGTATACATCTGAGGGCGGTGGAGAGGATATTGGTTCAAGGTGCGCGTTGACTAACAGTGCACATATTCTTTTACTGGAGGGAAAGTAGGGACTACCACCAGAGATGCTTACTGTTTATGTGCAAATTCCTTTAACCTCCCTGGAGGTATTCCCGAGTGTAGCTCGGGGTAAAGTTTCAGCACCACAAGCGGTAACCCTGAGCTACACTCAGGAATACCCTGCAGCGCTGCTCCGGGATCCCTTCTGCACTTACCTTGTCCTTCGCTCCAGCGACGTCCCCCCTGCAGCATCCCCGGCCATCTCCTCCGGCTGATGCCGGCATCTGTCTTCCAGGTTCCGTTCCCTGTGACATCGGGACGTATGGGGAACAGAACTGGCGGGAAATTTAAAAAGTGACATTCACTAAATACACTAAAACCACATAGTAAAACATTACTGTATCAAACCATTTCACATACATTTTGTCCCGAGTGCTTTGTCCTGTGTCCCTGCCTGCATTTTTACTGTTCTTTCTGCCTGGAAACTGAGAAACGTCCATGGCGTCCAAAAAGCGTCCCTTTAGGTCAAAAGCGGTTTTAGACCAGCTAGAGAACAGCGATAGTAAGTTAGAACCACTTGCAGAACTGAGTGACAATGATTCGTGGGGAAATTTGTCATCAGACACTGAAAACGATTTTAGGACTAAGATCAGTGATGTGCGAACTTCATGTTTCAAATTTTAACATACCCAGGATGTTTACTAGACTCTTGTTTGGACAGATTTCAGTGAGTTATTCCTAAAAATTACAGGCCTACAATAAAAAAACGACATATTTCCATGCAAAAAAAATGTACCAATTTGAGCACAGAAATACTGACATAATCATACCGCTAGGGAGGTTAAGGAAGTGAAGAGGGTGCCAAAATGCTCAAGGACTGAAAAGGATCTTCTGTGGCCTCCATTGTGTAAAGTGGTGGTCTAAACTCCACTTCTCCTCCTTGGTCTTGGCCAGGGTTCCTCAACCAGGGTTCCAAGGAACCATAGGGTTCCTCCAGAGGTTGCTAGGCGTTTCATGAACAATGAGCAATTTCTGCCTCTCAGATAAGTTCCCACTGACAACATTGATCTTTTTAGCAATCTGTATGGAGGGAATTCTTCCCAATAACCACCACACTAATGTATCAGAAGACGTAGGTATAGTCCTTATTAGCAGGGGTTCCCTGAGACCTGAAAGTTATTTTAAGGGTTCCTCTGTGTTGAAAAGGTTGAGAAAGACTGATCTAGGATGAAAAAGGTGCCCCCATAGGAGCCCATCCTCACTCAGATGCATTGCAATTTCATTACTAAGCAAGCCACACACTTATGACATCAATCCCTCAAAATCTGTTTATTCGCTATCTGTTCATTGAGTGTCCCCACCTGTGACCACTCCCCTTTATTGAGCTTGATCCTAGTGGATCTCTAGAGTATTGGAAGAGACCTGAGGAAACCCATGCAAGCATGAGACAATGCAAAATCCATGCAGGTAACGTCCTGGTTGGGATTCAAACCAAGAACCCTAGCGAATTTGTGAATGGAAGAGAGTCTGAAAAGTCACAAGTTTCCCTCCCCCATTCATTGATCCTATTTCAGGCAGTAAAATCAGTGAAGGAACTTTTCTTCATGGAGAAGAGAAGAGGGGGTGGGTGAGTACCCAACGCAAATGGCAGAACAATGGGTCTAATGGCAGATC